GGGGGGGGGGGAAGACATGTTTTACAGTTCTTTTGGCAAGGAGATTCCCTGAAAGTACAAAGTTTCCATGTCCTAGGATGCCTTAAAGAGACAGGGAGGATTTCCCCTTTCCCTTAAGTGGAGTCATTTCCTAGCAGGAGGCAGCGCTGCCGGTGCCGGTGTCGCGGCTGCCCCGCCAGCCCCGCTCGCTGTCCCCTGCCACCCTCCCGGTGCCACATCCCCGCTCCGCTGCCCCATCCCCGACCGGCGCGGCTGCTGGCTCGCAAGAAAGTTGCTTTGTCCTAAGAAAAAACAAAAACTGAGATGAACTCCGCCGCGCTTTTCCTCAACTTTCCCTAATCCCAGCTGCTCCGCTCGCTCGTGAGGAGGGGGACGCGGTTCGTGCGGGGCTGCCGGGGTGGGCAGGAGGTGCCGGGCATGGGCTGGTCCCGTGTGCCTTTRGAGCAGTGATTTCATAGGTGAACCACATTATTCCTCGCTTTATTTCCCCTGGCTTTCTCACACTCTGTTCCTCTGCTTTCCAATCCTAACTTAGACCCCAGGGCTCAAAGTGCTTCCCTTTCAAGTTGGGAAAGGCAGGATCTGGGTTTACACAGATCACCAAAACAGGGTCAGTGTGTTTTTTAATGTGTTTAATCCAACACCTAGGACCCCATGTCTGTATTTGGTGCRAGTATCTCTAATTCTCACAACAGGGAGCCTAGACAAACACACACAAAGATCATTTGTAGTAAAATACTTTAATTGGATGGGGGAGGTTGGGTTGTTGCCTGTATAAAACACTTGACCCATTTTATGCATGGAAATAACATTCCACTGTGAAAAAATGAAGAGAAATGCCCCAGTTTTGCACCGTAGAGCTTCAGCTCAGCTCGGGAGGACTTTGTGATTTTATTTTATTTTTAAGCTCCCCCTGCCCCCCTCACACGCACTCTTGAAGAGGAGCCAGGTTTGGCTCTGTGTGTAAACACCTGGAGGAGGTCCAAGAGGAACTCACTTGGAGTATCCTCTGCACACCACAGCCTCCCAGACCTGCAGCAAGCTTAGGGAGAGATTACGCTTCCCTCAATGAGGAAATCAAGGGTTCTGGCTGCCAAAACTCTTGGCTTTCACATTTTCACTGTTTTGGGATGTGACAGACTGAGGAGCTCAGCTCTGCTGTAGAATTTGCATCTGTAGGACCCCACTGAAATCAAGAGCTCCTCTGGGTGTTTGGGGGGGAAGGGACTGGGGCACATTTGCTGGCAGTGCCAGAAGTGAGTTTCTCCCCAACTTTCGTCCCAGTTGCAAAGTRGGAAACTGTATGGTTGTGCAGATCTGAGGGAAAGGGCGGGATTGATTGGAATACACCTCTTTCACAGAGTCACCCTTGTGTCTCTATCTACTTTCTGCCCCCCACTCTGTGCCCCTGTGACTGTCCCCCTTCCACCCCTCCTTGCTGGCATCTAAGAAATCACTGCGAGGGGTACAGGAGGAGCCCCACGTGTGCCTATAGGGGGAACCTGTTGTGCCTGTTAAAAAATCCCGTGCAGGACCCGAGTTGTTATCAGCTTCTGCGCCTGAGCCCTGACATAACGGAGTTCTTCTGCTAATCCAGGCTACAGGAGTTTCTGTCTGGAGCCAACTCTCCTTACGTCACCCTCTGCTGCAGTATTCAATTTGTTTTCATAAATGGCTAATTTTACAGCKCTGTTAAGTGGGTTCGTCATTGTGCCGGGCCATGCCCTGTCTCTGATGAGAGGCAGCCCTGGTGCCAGGCTCTGCCAATTTTCACGCTGCTTGGCAGCGACGTTACCGCCGCCCTGCTTGACTCCGCTGCTATCTGCTCTGGCATTTGTCAGAGGGAAAGCTGTTGGGAAACTGGAAGTCTGACCCATTGATCTGCGTTACGCAAAAGCTCAGGAGCCCTGTCGGGGCCGGGCTGCGCCGCTCGGAGCGGCTCCCGCGGTGCGGCTCCCGGAGGCAGCTCCCGGTTCCTGCGCACTCGCCCTCCCTCCTCCTTCCCTCCCTCCTTCCCTCCCTCCTTTCCTCCTTCCCTCCCTCCTTCCCTCCCTCCTTCCCTCCCTTCTTTCCTCCCTCTCTCCCTCCTTCCCTCGTTCCCCGGGCCGCAGAGTTCTTGGAGCAGCCCCGCTCGGATGTGCGCACCTAGCCCGCAGCACAGTACATCCCTCTTGTAAACACACACATGTGCACATGGAATCAATCAGCYTCTCCGGGCGCTTTCCCCCGCCGAGCCCGGGGATGGATGCTGCTGCAGGAAGGGGTTGAGGTGGGGCTCAGCTCCCTTAGGTAATGCACGCACGGAAAGAGGGGCTTCAGAGCGCTCCTGACCTTGCTTGGGTTGTAATCAAAGATGTTTCGGTGCCATTGTGAGAAAGCGACCCCATCCTAAGAAACAGGATCCTCCCGAGTCCCTGTCAGGGTGTTTTCTGGTGTGTGGGGTGGCTCATGTTTTCACAGGAGTGAGATGTTGACTCTTTACTGGCTGGGAGCTGAGAGGAGCGGGATGAATGATCGGCAGCGGGAGTTGGAGTAAGAAGGCGTGCCTGCTCTGAAGAGTGAAAGTTATTTGTGTTTTGTTTTTTGGTTTTTTTTTTTCCTGTTTTTTTCACTTCTTGGTTTCATTCTCCTCTGTCTCTCTATTCCTCAGCCTGCCAACAGAGAGCATGATCCCAACTTAATAAGGCTTCATATGTAAGGGAGTGCCTATGTTTTCCCAACTTCAGTCCTTGATGAACATAAAACTGCARCAGAATCCAAAGGGAGAGAAGAGCCAAAATCAGCATGGTGGAGATCACTTAAAGCCACAGCTTTTGCATGTAAGAGACTGAGAAACATCCRTGTCAGGGTCCATGACAAAAATTGAGCAATTATAAAGATATTTAATAGACACTCCATAGGTCTGGTCCCTCCATAGGGTTAAAGAATCTGTGTTTATTTTGGGCAGTTATTTTGGTTTCCTKCTGAAGTGTTGGAGGCTGATATTGGTTTAATACACTTCAGGTAGGATTGATGAGCTGGGTCCTATCTCCAGAGCTGATCTTTGTGCTGGGTGTGCTGGGAACTCGAGCATGATGTCAACAGAGAGTTTACTCTGAATTTCACTGGCCTTGAAACCATAGGCAGATAGATAACTTGGAATTTTCTCATCTCCAACAGCCTGTTGCCTTTTAATTGTATGAATTTTCTGGTTGTGCTCTGTAACAAAGCTCTACAAGGAAGGAGTAAGTCAAATGTAAAACTTGTAGTTCTGTTGTTTAATTAGTGCTGGCACATGCCAGGTYCCAGGGTGCTGGACGAGGTGGGCAAAATGGGGTGACAGGAGCTGGAACACCTGCACAGATGTGACACAGGGTGACAATTGTAAATCWCCTCTGCTGAAGGGTGGGGGAAGCTGTGTGGGTTTGGTTTCCCTGCGGATGGGTTCAAATGATTATCCACTCCATGACTATGGATCTGGACAGGGCTTGACTCATAGGTCACTGAGAAAAACACCACACAGCTTGTCACTTACTAAATATTTGCATTTGAACAGCACATTTCCTTCAGCCTGTGGAAGCTGGGACAAGGATCACAAACTGATTTTTTCTTTCCATAACATTTCCAATTTAATCTGGTCACATTCATTTGACCAGCCATGCTCTACAGCTGGAATRGCACAGTTAGAAGAAAGTTGGGTTAGTTTTTTTTCATCTTCAAGCACTTACACATAGGCTGCCCTAATTAATTAAGTGGTGACATAACAGTGAGGGAAATTTGACTCTGTGTGTGTGAAGGATGGCAAATTTAAGCTCCTAAATGATGTCTGGCTGTCTCCTACAGGCACAGAGTTGTCCCAGGCTGAGTTTGCCTCTCCAAGCTTAATTTCAGCCTGATTTATTTCAAACCAGCCTGTTTCAGT